TTTGTGTTAATGAATTTAATGAATCCAATTTAGTTGCTTCAGCCAACAACTTTCGTAGTTGTCTGGACAACTACTGAAGTTGTTTATAGAAATAATTAGGCATATCGTTCAGATACAAAATGGTCCAACAACTGCATATAGTTGTCAGACGACTAGATAAGTTGTTCCCACAACTACGACAGTTGTTGGACAACTGTGTTCAGTTGTTGATCAATTGATTAGTTGTAGGACAAATAATATAATTATTGATGTTTGATGTACTACAATTACACATTTCTATTGATCCTATTAAGTTAATTTTATACTATTTACTAATTTTTTAAACTATTTTAGTGTAGATATAATGCGTCAATATAAGAGGAAGAGAATTGGAACATCTTCATTCAATCCAGATGCTGGAGGAAATGTTGGGAAATGTTGGGAGCTTAACTGCTGCTAAAAAAAGAGGTACTGCAACACTTCAAAATAGTAAAAGAAGCAGTGATCTATTAGGAGAAGAAAAAACTGATGAAAATAGCGGCAAGTAATCTAGTGAGATGGAAAAAAGTAGTAAGAACAACAGTGACCTATTAGGTGAACAAAAAAGTAATGAGAATAGCAACAAAAATTCAAGCGAAAAAGAAAAAGATGATGAGAGTGATGGAGATAAATTAAGTAGAGAGGAAAAAAATAATGAAAGTGATAGAGATAAATCTAGTGGAGAAAAAAAAAGTGATGAAAGTGAAAGTGAGCAATCAAATGAAAAAGAAGAAGAAGGTATTGAATCCTCTCCAAATTATGTCAAAATCATTTCCAATGGTACGTATAAATTTAAGACTCACTTGAATGTGTCTGGGTCTTATGATTCTAGAATTAATGCGAAAGTCAATTTTGGAGTTCAATTTGTTGAGTTTAGAAAAATTCTAATCGCACAAAATATTGAAAATGATTTTAAAAAATCTTGCTTTGGTCACTTTTTGAAGTTGGATAAAGATGTAGCAGTACAACTTCAAATGAAGTTAGTACATGGTCTTAATCTTCGTTGTATATTTTTTTTTAAAGAAAAAAAGAGGTTTGGATTGATTATAATGGTTTGCCAATTTGTTTTGGCATTAATGAATTCGCTATTATGACTGGACTTCGATGTCATTCTCTTCTTCCTCTAAGTCGGCAATTAGCGAAAATTGAAAATGAAGGTGAAATTTTGGTTGATGAAGAAGGTGAAATTCGCTATTATGACTGGACTTCTGCCAATAGTTGTTCCAAATTTGCAATTGTTATTTAAAATCAACAATACTTTGTATTTTAGTTTCTTGATATTTTTCAATTTTTATATTTCAGGTATGATGTATTGACTTCAAATATTGCGGAGTCTATCAATGCAATGTTCAATGAAGCAAGAAAAATTTTCATGACTGCCCTGTTGAATGATATAAGTAAAAGATGATCAGAAAAATTTTATGAGAGACGAATGACATATGTCAAGTTAAAAATCACTTTTGTCCCTTCAACTGAAATCAAAATAATGGCTAACAAGAATCTGGAAAATAAGTTATTGGTTCATCAAATTGATGAAGATACCTTCAGCATCATCGCGGACAATGGGATCACAATGGTCCATCTTCGAAGCAAAATGTGTCCATGTCGAGAGTTTGAACCAAAATTTCACCTTCTTTTTCAATTTTCGCTAATTGCTGACTTAGAGGAGGAAAAGAATGTCATCGAAGTCCAATCATAATAGTGAATTCATTAATGCCAAAACAAATTGGCAAACCATTATAATCAATTCAAACCTCTTTTTTCTGTTCAGAAAATATACGACGAAGATTAAGACCATGTACTAACTTCATTGGAAGTTGTACTACTGCATCTTTATCCAACTTCAAAAAGTGACCAAAGCAAAATAAATTTAAATCATTTTCAATATTTTGTGCAATTAGAATCTTTCTAAACTCAACAAATTGAACTCCAAAATTGACTTTCGCATTAATTCTAGAATCATAAGACCTAGACACATTCAAGTGAGTCTTAAATTTATACGTACCATTGGAAATGATTTTGACATAATCTGGAGAGGATTTAATACCATCTTCTTTTTCATCTGATTGCGCACTTTCACTTTCATCACTTTTTTCTTCTCCGCTAGATTTATCTCCATCACATTCATTACTTTTTTCCTCTCTACTTAATTTATCTCCATCACTCTTGTCATCTTTTTCTTTTTCGCTTGAATTTTTGTTGTTATTCTCATTACTTTTTTCTTCACCTAATAAGTCACTACTGCTCTTACTACTTTTTTCCATCTCACTAAATTGTTTACCGCTATTTTCATTACTTTTTTGTTCTCCTAATAGGTCATTGTTGCTCTTACTATTTTGAAGTGTTGTAGTACCTCTTTTTTTAGCAGCAGTTAAGCTCTCAACATTTTCTCCAGCATCTGGATTGGATGAAGATGTTCCAATTCTCTTCCTCTTATATTAACGCATTATATCTAGGGGTGTACATGACCGGGTTGGTTCGGGTTTTTCAAATATCAAACCAAATCATTTGTGTCGGATTTTTAAATCTATAAACTAAACCAAACCAATAAAAGTCAGGTTTTTCAACCTCGGGTTTTTTCGGATTTTTTTGATATTTTGGATTTTTGGGTTTTTATTCATACAAACATATAATTTACTTGTACTTCAAATATTTCTTTAGTCCTACCAAAATACAACTATCTAAGATGTTTCTTAAAAATATAACACAATATGATATGATTAATGACATTAAAATATCCAACAAAAATAATAGTAATGAAATCGCGTATAACAAATATTGCAAATTAACAAGTCATAATGAAAATGATCATAATTTAAAAGTACTAAATCATACTAAAATAAGTTTAATAAGTATTAGTTACATGACTAAATATTAAAGAAAATTAAAATTAGATTATGTATTTTAATTGTCTAAACCAATGTAAAACCAAAGAACAAATATTCAATATTATTGTCATTCTTAGTGTTGAATTGATTATTTTTTTTGCTTTAAGCTTTATCGTAATTCTGTGGATTATAATCTTTATTGAACCATTCAGAATTCTAAGTTTCAAACTTGAAATAATATATTAAAAGATAAAACTATGAAATATTATTCGGGTTGGTTTTTTTTAGTTAAAACCAAACCAATCCAAATATAGTCGGGTTTTTTTTTTCAATACCAAACCAAGTCAAACCAACCACTAGTCGGGTTTTTTTCTCGGTTTGACTCGATTTGCGGTTTGGTTCGGTTTTTGGTTCGGTTTTGTACACCCCTAATTATATCTATACTAAAATAGTTTTTTTTTAAAAAATTAGTAAATAGTATAAAATTAACTTAATAGGATCAGTAGAAAATGTGTAATTATAGTACATTAAACATCAATAATTATATTATTTTTCCTACAACTAATCAATTGATCAACAACTGAACACAGTTGTCCAACAACTGTCGTAGTTGTGGGAACAACTTATCTAATCGTCCGACAACTACATGTAATTGTTGGACCATTTTGTATCTGAAAGATATGCCTAATTATTCCTATAAACTACTTTAGTAGTTGTCTGGACAACTACGAAAGTTGTTGGCTGAAACAACTAAATTGGATTCACTAAATTCATTAACACAAAATAATTTTATACGGACTAAAAAACTCTTTTGAGTTAACTTCAACTTCAAACAAAATAAATGCAATGCAAAATAACAAAAAAATATCATAGATAGATGATAATGATTTTCTTCTTTATGAAACCCTAATTTTAATATTTTGAAATAGAAAAGAGAAGAAAATTTACCTTGTATGATTAGGAAGAAAACACAATAGAAAAAGTTGAATGATTTTGAAGTTGAAGAAGAAGCAAAAAGTTTGAAAATTTTTCCCAAATTTCCGTCCCTTCGTCCTCCCCGTCCGATCGTATTCTAACTGAAAAGAAACTCTTCAAAAACTAATAGGGATATACAATTTAATCTTTAAGTTTTTATCACAATTTTAAAAATGTTATTTTAAGTCCTTAAGTTTTTTAAATTAATAGTTTAGTCCTTTTTTATTAATATTAAAAACCAAAAAATAGAGAGAAAAAAAGGGACCCACTTGTCCCTTTTTTTTTAATTGAAAACTTAATAGGCTTTTTAAGCTCATTTTTCCGTAATGCACCCTCAAAATAAGCATGTGAAAATTTATTTAGCCAATTTTTTATTTTATTTTTCTCTTTTTTTCTTCCCCATTTTTTTCAGCCATTACCTCCCATTATTTCCCAAACTTGAAGTCCTTAACGAGTACTCTCAAACTATATATATCTCTTATTTTTTTTAAAATCATTTGTAATTTCTTTCCATATCACTTGTAACAATATCTCATATGTCAAGCGGTTCGAAAAATAAAATATTAATGTGTGAACTAGAGTACGAAGTACAAACTCCAAAAAATTAAATTTAGAAAAATTAGGCAGCTTGTGCATCCAACAGAAATCAAACCTATAAACTGAAGATAGCATTCGCGGCCCAAGTTGCACAGTCCAATTCCACTGGGCTATCTCTCTTCTTTGGCTCAAAATTAGTATATATACAAAAATATTAAAAATCTATCCTATATATATAGTGTAATATTTTGCCAAGGGGAAGATCCTGAATTTGAGACTTTCTACACCAAAAATATTCTCTTAAACGAAGGTATTCGCGCTTGGATGGCGGCTCAAGATCAGCCTCATGAAAACCTTATATTCCCTGAGGAGGTTCTACGTTGACACCCATGTAGGTCCGCCCCTTTAAGCTCCATAAATTTACAATGAAATGACTCTTGTCCTTCCAATTCTACTATAACTAAAGAGACCACTGAAGCTCAAATTTGAATCGAAAAATTCAACCTCCATTGATGAAGTACTAAAATTTATCCCGTTTTGTTTAGTAGTAATAATTTTTGAGGAAACTATGTGAATACTAGTCATCCCTTTATTGTACAAGTCAAATAGAGTACAGAGAACTATCAGAACTTCACAAACACTTTTACACAACATCTACATCACAGAGCAATTTATAGTACATTTGTGCAGCAACAGCCCGTAAGACTACATCGTCTGCGTTGACGAAGCTCAAAATCAGAATTGAAAGGAGAAGAGGATTTATTCACTTTTACAGACAACCAATTTATGGACTACTCAATAAAAGCTATAATATCAAGAAGTCATCAGCCAATCAAATGTTGAAGAATGGGATATTACTGGATGTTAAATTTAACATGATCCCATCATGTCACAAAATGTCCATGATCGTATTTGATCCATCACGCCCTTGCTGATGTTGCGAGAAACATGAAAAGATGAAGCTTTGCAAGCAGCTATAGATGATCATTCTTTCTTGTAAACCAGTGTTGGATAATCCGGACTCCACATATTGTTCTCCACGAACTCAGATATTTGTGCCTGCAATAGAGTTCCACCAATTAAAGTAACCAAGTTTTGAAATAATATTAATGTAGGCAATTTCTACAACCAACAGAACAAACTACTTGAATGATCAAAAAAGGTTTAGGTTTTCCCAAGTGGTAGTGCAATAACATTCTGAGAAGCTACAAGAAGTATCGCATCAGCGGGAAACCTTGAGAAATGACGGAACATGGTAATCCTAAAAAAGGAGAGCCAAACCAGTTTCAAGGTCTATCAATCTGAATGGATGAAGGAGAGAGAATGCCTTAGGAGGGCAACCTTGTTATTTCAATTTCTCTCAGGAAGTAAGAAACAAAGTAGCACCTACAATAATGAGCATATGGCTGGAAGAGGATATTTTTTATGATGATTATGCTAGCTAAAAAGTTTTTTGTTCATTTTCTAGAATTATAAAAGATGTAAATTGTAAGAGAGTTTTCAAGATCCCATTATGGTATAACACTTCAGCCAGCTTCTAAATATTGAGGTGATCTTCTGCCAAAGGCGTTTCTGTAAATATACAGAATGACCTTTTATGAAGCAGGTAATATGTGCAATAGCTCGTCGAACATATCTCTGTAGTGTAGCGTACTAGTGAGTTCTAGCTTCATGCTTGAGTCTCTTTTTTGCAGATCCTTTTAATGTCCCCGTGAGAGTTGCATCATCTGGTAACTGAAATGCTCTACTTCAGATTTTAGTTCTTTTGTGCTTCATTCTTTTATGCACAGTAATACAACAGGACTCATACACTGCTTATACAGTTCCCTTTAACCTTAATCGACTGTTATGTTTCTCTATTTCATTTCATACTACAGATCCTTGCTTCTTCTCTAAATATTATCATAGAACCGAAAATTCAAACTCAAGCTAACTAGTAGAAATCAATCAATTTATTAGACCTTGTTAGAAGTCCCTCATCAGTTAAGGGATGGATAATTTGTATCCTTAGATGGTCATGAGCAGTTCTCACCTCGCAAGCTCTTTTGGAGTTGGGTTAGCCCCAAGACCCATTTCTTAACATAGTATAGGAGTACAGACCCATCCCGGTCCATGGTTTACCCGATGTTGTCTCCCATATTATATTGTCCATGCTCCACATTTCAAAGTCTTGGGCGTGCAGAGGATGGGGATGAGTGGAACCAGAAGTCCCACATTGGTTGTGTGATAGATAATTGGTATCCTTATATGGTATTAGGCAATTCTCGCGCCTTGTGAACTAGCTTTTGGGATCGGCTGTTTGAATTCTCTATATCTTGTTATATTCAGCACCATTCCAATATTAAAATTATCTTCCTTATGAGGAAAATAGGTTCTCTCACACTTACTCTTGAGTCAGATTAGAAATCTAATTGTAGATTTGGACTCGTAGGGTTATGAGTAACTCGAAAACATAATTTATTTTGGAATTTGATCACGACACACAGGGTTGACCTTTTTGGGTTGACTTTGCTTCGACAGAGCTATCAAATATGGAATCGACATACATGGATTCATCTAACCTCATAGAGTATTCTTTTGAGTAGATCAAGCTTATTCGAGGATTCAGAGTGAGGAAAGGTGGTTTGAGAAGGTTAAGAGTTGCTTCAGATTGAGGTAAGATAAGGCTTTGACCTCAATGAGGGAATTTCCCCAAATTAATAATGTTTTATGTACTATGTATATGCAAGTACCATATATGTAAGATGACAAGAGATAAGAGGGTACCGGGGTTATGATTGTTATACGGGATATAAGATATTGTTGTCATACATGCTTTATATGTTCTTTCTATATCATCACTACTTTAAGCATTATATCATGCTATATTTTTCATGCTAATTTAACATTATGAGTTATGTGCATGTTTGATTACATGTTTAGTCGTTAGTCATGCATTGTATGATACTTTGTAATTGCATACTTGATTTTACACTTAGATGCCACTATGACACATCCGTATGATATGATAAGGCATGTGAGCTGTCCGTGCGCTTGTACAGGCAGGATCATTGTGCTGCATCACTCGGGTCACTTGGGCAGCGATGCAGTGTACACATAGGATTATTGCACTGGAAGCACTGGTGTTGAGTAAAGGACTACAGATCAAATCTTTATCATACATCCACAATTTCCGACTCGTGTATCTGTGCATATCTTAATATGCTACATCTGTGCATATATTAATATGCTATACTTGTGCATACTTCATTATGATGTTATGTGCTTTACTTTTGTTCAGATTATAATATTATTGCAGGTTATTTAAGTGGGTATTTTTAGACCAATCCTCCTCACTACCTTGTTGGGGCGGCCGATGATACTTACAGGATAAGAGGTGGTGAACTTGTGCTTACATTTGCTGCACTTTTTGAGCCGTTTCTGACCCTAGTACCATCAGAGCTCAGGAGCAGGTCCAAGAGTACTTGGACACTGTTGGGGAGAGCTGTTAGGCCTATTCCACAGCATCTTGGAGTTCTCCCCCTATCTTGTTTCATTACTGTTTTCCTTCAGACAGTATTTGTAATTTGACACCGATGTATTATTATTCCATAAGACACTCATGACTTGTGACACCAGTCTTTGGGGGTTATTTTAGACCTTTCCACACTGCATTGGTTTTAAACTTATGTCCTTGTGCTGATTTCCTGCTTTCAAACTTAGTTATGCCATTTTAGGTAACATAATAACATTGGGTTGCATGATTATCGGGTTAGCCTAACAAGTATGGTTTAGGTACCATCGTGGCTTAGGCAAATTGGTCAGTGACTCGGACAATCCAATTTTAATTTTGTATGTTAAATCTCTATCTATCATTGCCATTATACTAGAAAAAAATGAACTTAGGATATCCAAATTGCCTGCATTTATGCACCACAATCTCATTTCACAATCATTCTTCATATGCCTTTATTCTTATGGGAGCTAAACTTGCATTCTATCTTAATTCTAGCCTATTACGAAATCCTTTATGCTTCCAGTGGGTTCAAATTTAGTTGAATCCCTTGCCAATTCCATCAACTATAACACATGCAAATAGCACATACTTCATCCTATATGCCATTGGTTAGTTCATCCAATAACTGAGTTAACTAATTACATAGTCCAAAAAAGTCACCCACGCAAAGACAGCTATGGAAACTCTTTTGTATCTCCAAAGTAACTGGTACATAGAAAGATCCATAAAGTAAAAATACCTCATCAAGTTTCCGTAACTCTCGGCTGTCCATTTCACGGTATCCTTCAGCCAGATCCTCTTCTATAGCTTCTTTCACCACAGCTGCAGCCACCTCCTTTGTTATATCGCGTATCCTGTGATGAAAATAGATCATTCACTATGTTAGCAACAATGTAAATCTGAAGCATATAGAGCAATGACATCTTAGTGATGCATTTCAAAATGTAAAATGATTTCTTTTTTTTTTTTTTGATAACCGAGAAATCCGTCAGTGACCCGCCCTTTGGACCAATCACAGCCTTCTAAACTCGGTGGATAATGGGCCCGCCCCTCTACCCTTCTCCACTTAAATACCGGGCTTCGCTTTGCATGGTGTGGGGCTTGAACCTGCGACCTAAGCCACAAATCCTCCACCTTTTGCCACTCGAGCTAGGCCTTGGGGGCAAATGTAAAATGATTCTTAAGACACAGAACTAGATCTAAGAAGGTTGAGGAAGTCTGGAGCTTTGTATGACATATTTACTTATATCAAGAGGGTTTCACTGGGAATTTAGCAGATCCTCAGGCTGGTCCCAACTTGAGACAAGTTTCTTATTGGTCTCCAACTAAAGAAATTCAGGTGCATTGTCTCTGAAATTGAATTTTCTTATTTTTCTGAAATTTTATTTTTGTATCTTGTAGTGGAAAGCAACTTCTGAGTCAAACTGAGAAAATTTATATTCCTTATCTATTTTTAGACGGCAGTAAATATGACATATGAATTGATCTGAAAGTTCCCTGCAGTAAATGTTTAATTTTGCTGCTAGGAACTGATTGAGATAGAAAGAATAACAGCAGAAGCAAAACATATGAGCAGATTTTGCTCCCACATATCTTTTTTTAAATGTAAATGACATTCCACAATTTACGTTCCAACAGCTATATAAAAGGCGAGGGCATGAGACGATGTATTTTGTCTACCACGGGCGAGACGTAAGACCCACTGATATAAGCCCAAGGTGTGGGCATAAGTCCTGTGAATTTTGTTTTGTATTGGTTTTTAGTTGAATAAGGAAATAACCACAGGTACTGACATTAGTTATATTTTTTATAGTAAAAGTTTATCCTATTTTATTACTTCCGAGTTAAACTCAACAATTTCTTTTACTAGTCTCACAGTTGCACTTCGTAGATCAAAGAAGCCACCCCCAACCCTGCATAAATCTTTTTTTTTCTTTTTTTTTGGGGGGGGGGGTTATGCAAGTTGTCCCCTTGTAAACCTGTAAAATAGTTCCCTAATACTCCTAAGGCATACCTGGATATCGAAGGGTATATAATCCCCTTGAGTACCTCCTCCTCTGTAATATATGCAGCCAAACTGTAAAATCCACACTGTAGTTAGAAAATAGAAGTAGAAGCTACTCATGTGCTATAAATCAATAGACTTGGAAACTTTACTAAAGCATCGAAAAAGGGAAGTACCACTCAGCTGCAGCCTGTAACATGCCATCTGAAACGATTCTAGATCCAGACAGAAGAGTACCAAGTCCTATTCTGAAGCATGTACGGAATATATTGTTAGGAGGAAAGAAAGTCAATAGTAAAGAGAGTATAGAAGAGCATAGACTAGCTATCTTAAACTTTGGACATTTGGAGTCTAACCCAGGAAAAAGGAACATGTTGTTTGCTTGGTTGCAGTGTCCAACATGACCGTTTCCTGCAAAATTCACATGCAGATAAAACATTGTCAACCCAAATATTATCAATTTATCTTGTATGCCTTTATCTATACCAATATCAAGTTTTCCAAACTTTCCTCTACAAGATTTTTCTTTCTTTTTTTTGTTGGCTAAACATGATTTGAAGACCATGATTCTTTTTTTCCTTGTCAAAAGTAAGAAGAAATTATTCAAATGTTACACAGTAATTCTTTTTCCATATAAACAGCAGTAAAATGAATATCAGAAAAGTGGACTGCAACATTTACCCTATCCTACTAGCATTTTTCTCATATGAGAGAGAGAATAAAAGAAACACAGTGAAACTCTAAACTAAAATTCAAGCTAATCGTAGAGGATTAGTTTCCCAAATATATTGCAATTTTATTGTATCTCCCAACCCAAGTTAGGGAAGTCCCTGTCTTAAATGTTGAATAACGTTAAGATAAAACTTGGTTATGTTCCAATTTAGTCTTGGCACAAGCATGCTTAGATTTCAAACCACTTAGAGAACATATATATTAAAATCCTATGCACTTAAAATTACTTACAAAATACTTATTTCCTTAATTAGTGCATGACTAAACTAAAGTAGTATATGTCATAAACAAGATATTGGATCAACTTTAAAATATTAAACTCACAATAAATAGAATTAGTCAATTAATTATATTCATGACGATAACATAGTAGCATGAATTTTTATTTTATACCTAAACACTACTCCCTCATTCTATATTATGTCAACTCTCTTTCCTTATTAGTATGTCTGAAAAGATAGGCACCTTTTCTATACTTAGAAATTATTTAAGCTTACATCCCATCCCCTTTTGACTTGTTGGAACCCCACTAGATAAAAAACTACTCTATATTTTATTAGGAGGGGAAAGAAGAAGGGTTGTGTGGAACACTTACCACCTATCATTTTAACTGTTGGTAGTTACGGAAATGTTCATATTTTGCATATATTAAGCTTATATGTCAAAAGTTCTTGTTTTATAAACCTTTTTTTTGATAAGGTAAAGGTTTATTGACTAAGTACCTTCTTGTGAGAAATATATGAGAAGAATATTATTAAATTGTTTTTGAGTCTACATTATTACATAAAAACCCTATTTATATACACTATAATACAGTCCTTTATCAAGTAGGAAACTATATACTATTTTTATTCCTATTACTATTCATATTCCTATTCTAAGTAGGATTGTATATACCTATTTCTATTCAAACACTCTCCCTCAAGCTGGTGCATACAAGTCATATGTACCTAGATTGTTACAAATTCAATTAATACGAGGAACGATGAGAGGCTTGGTGAGATATTTGCAAGTTGATCACTCGACTTCACAAAATTGACATTCAATCTCAACATGCTTAATCTTCTCATGAAATACTGGATTAAATGTATAATGTCAGTCAATCTCAATGTGTTTGGTCTTCTCATGAAATAGTAATCGACATACAAGGCTGCTAAGCTCCCCCTAAGCAACAAAATTAGGTGGTTGCTCCATATAGACTTCTTCACAATGCAGCGGTCGTCGGAAAGTGCTCAAAATCCAGTATAAAATATATGGATCACGTTGGAATCAATAGGTGAGTCAATATTAAACAAGAAAGTCTCTGAAAAACTGGTCGGAACATGCTCATACGCCGGAGTATTAGATTTGATGGCTGAAAGCGGTCACAATCTAAGAAATAAAAGTATATGGGTAGGGTCGGTATGATGGCACGACCCTACTGAAAAATAGAAATTAAATGGGTAGGGTCGGATTGCCAGCACGACCCTACTGAAAAAGAGAAATTATATGGGTAGATTCGAAATGATGGCACGACACTACACAAATAAGAAATTAGTCACCGGATAAAATGGTGCTACAGAATTCAGATATGAAAAAGTAATCACCGAAAAGATGGCACGGTGCTACACAAATTGAATATGAAAAAGTAGTCACCGAAAATATGGCACAGTGCTACACAAATAAGATATGAGAAAGTAGTCACCGAAAGGATGGCACGCTGCTACACAAATTAGAAATGAGAAGGTAGTCACCAAAAGGATGGCACGATGCTACACAAATTAGATATGGATGTCACGGCGCTACACAAATTAGATATGAAAAAGTAGTCACCATAAAGATGGCTCAGTGCTACACAAACACTGACGGATATAGGATTGACACAAACAATCCTAGAAAGTCACTGAAAATTGACGCATGGTGACCTGTCAGATTGAGTTTTCTTCCCCAGAATATGGGGTTCATGCATATATATTGGCCCTACTTTTGTTAACATAGCCATTGGCCAGACGGGTGGCATATATGGGTCACAGTCGCCCGCCAACAACGGAAGCTCTTTGATTCTCTACCAAGATCGTAGAGGCTCTGATACCATGTGAGATATATATGAGAAGAATATTATTGAATTGTTTTCATGTCTACATTATTACATAGAATCCCTATTTATAGACACTATAATACAATCCTTTACAAAGTAGGAAACTATATATTATTCCTATTCCTATTCTAAGTAGGATTGTATATACCTATTTGAGTATTTCTATTATAACAGGTACCAAAACCAAAAGTTACAAAAGACTGCTGGGAATATCCATACAGTCAATTACAACATCTCCCTAACAGCTCCAAAAACTCCATATATTGTCCTTTTTTTAAATTAACTACCCGCCCAGTCAACAATCATCACATAAAATGGAACGAGGGAGTATTACAGTTTACATAAAATTACTATTTTGTAATTGCTATCTATGTATAATACTTGCATGCAAACCAGTACTCCAAATGTTACTAACCAAAAGCAGAAAAGTATGAAAACTCTATCAAGACAGAGGAACTCAAAAGAATGATAGCAGATTTTAGAACCAATTTGTTACTAGACATACCAAGATCCACATCCTTGAATGGGCTTCCACTTGCAAATATAATGTTCTCACCGAGAATAGAAAATGCTTCCTCAGGGGTGCATTCAGCTATTAATGAAGAAAAACAGTGAATGAGAATGTTATCAACCTCAAAAACCTTGTATGTTCTCAATTAGTATATACCATTTCTCGTTGGGTTTGACATTGGAAAAATTGCAGGCCGGGTTGAAGTTGAATGCTTAAGGGCTTCCAGTACCTGAAATATTCACATTTCACAATTTCTCAAAACCTCGTATGTTTTCAATTAGTATATGTCATTCTCCTTTTCTTTCCCTGTGTAAGTAATGTTTAAAGCAGCTCTCATTTTGTCCAGTCTACGGATGCCAAACCACAAGCCAACTTTAATACCTAATGAGAATCCTTAAACTGGCCTGATTCTCTCTTTTTTAGTTTCCAAATGTCATCCAAGAAATAGAGAGATCGGTTTCAGCTAGAGATACATGGAGTGTTTGATGATCATAAACACTTACAAACAATGTTAAGTGAGGTACTTTTTTGTTAAGTAAATTTGGGCAAACATTGTTAAATCATGATATAGATTGTGACAAAAACGCTAGTATCATGTTAAGTAAATTTGGAGAAGCATGTTGCTTCTTATCAGTGTTAGAATGCTGAATCATAAATCTCGCTAAAATTTATCACGCAAGATTTTATGTTCTCGTTGCGGCCACAAATATAGGAAACTAGTGTATATATTTATGTAGCTAAAAGAGATTCAAATTATCAATTTCTATATGCCATACCTCTTTTGAAAACAAGCCTCCACAAGCAGATAAACCAAGAAGTACATCTGGCTTCACTTCGCGTACCTGATTGGAATCAATACATTGTAATATGTGTCATACTAATAGTACATGGCAAAGAATATATGGGATATTTCACTCATGAATCAATGCATTTCTTGGTATATAAGCTTCTATCTCTATACTCTCCATCTCATACCTAACTTTCTCTCTCTTCAGCTCTGTTATGGCTCTCACAATGGAAAAGACGAGCCTTCCAGAAAACAGTTGATTGGCAACATGATTCAAAGGTAAGTCACAACCTCATAATTACCTACATTTTCTCTATTTTGTAGAATGCTTTCACACTTTTAGTTTATGGAAGATTTTATTGCATCAAAATCTATGTTCTGTTTTTCATGTTGGACAAGTTCATAGCACCACTATTCAGGCAAACTGTCAAATCTAAAGATCTAATATATCTTGGCTGGCCTTATCAGAGTTAATCCATCATCATATTATTTCCACTAATCTGACCAATTAGTTTCTATTACCCCACTAACTTAATTAGTTGCATTTGAACACAACTGCAATTTCTTATTTTTGCCTTGGGCAACATTTCCTTGAGATTTCAAATGTTTATCTGATGGCTGAAACAGTCGTTAAGTGAACATTTTCTTTTCATCTAAATTTACTTAACGAATATTCACAGTAAGCAATTGAGAAATTATGAAAACTTTTGAGTCCTACACTAAGATGAGACAGAGTGACAGACCATAAAAGCCCCGATTCTTAAATAAAAATGAGAAAGGCAGTTTTCACTCATGAAAGGATAAAGGTCAATTACCACTTCCGCGAGAGTTGCACCTTCACTTAGACCTTGACGTTCAATCTCTTTGATCTTTCTGGCAAACGGCCGAGCATCGGGATCAACATTTTCACGTGCCTCAGTAATTAATCCCTAGATACATTTGTTAAACACCCATCAATAATTATGTCATAATTAAACCCACCTAATACATTTCACTTCCCCAAATAATTTCATATCCACCGAGGAATATAGAAAAGCAAAAGAAGTCCAGACTAACATTTACAATATCATTATACTGTAGCCATTGGATCAGACTACTTCGACAATCTAAGCTAGAGAAGAGAAAGAAACACATTAAATGCATTTAAGGCACAACCAAAGTCTAAATTGAAAACTGCTCACAGGCAACAAGCATGTCAGCACTTTTCAGGACCTTGCTTGTTGCATTGACCCTTATAATTTCTGCCAAAAGAGGCTGATACTAAATATGCTGTATAACCCTATAATTACTCACTATTCGTCAAATTTCTACCTGATAAGTGATATTCCACTCTGTTGCTGTATCTGTACTTTCTTTCCCATTTTTCTACGCAATACCTAAACCACCACCAGATTTTTTACTTGTTCACAGGACTTATGCTCTCACTTATATCTGTATGCATTGGGCTCTGGATCAGCATTGGCAAAGGTGTGCATAGAAAAGCACCAAGGATTGATAAGGTTCGAGTGTAAGGCATAATTCAAGCCTGACCATTAGTGAAGCACGACGTAATGAAGAAACAAATGAAAATTATTTGAATGATGCAAAAAAAGTTGCTGTAAATACAAGAAACAACTATATGGATATTTGAATTGAAAAAAATACCACTAAGTGAAATAAATGAAGTAAAATAATGTAACTAAGCCCAAAATCATTTTAAACTTCTGATTCAGACACAAATTTGAAATCTTAAGTTCATAATAGAGGATAAATGCTAGTTTTCTTATACTCACTTTGTTTCAATTATCTTTCTTTCCGTTTTAGTCTGTTTTAAAACAATGCCACATTCTATGTTTAGTAACCATTTAATTCCAACATCTCTCACCTGGCATGTTTAAGACCACGCGCATTTTGGTACATTACTACATTATACATATCTTTAGTTTAAAGACCACAAGATTTAAAAGTCTCACTTACTTTCCTAAATTTCGTGCCTAGTCAAAGGGAGTAGTAAATTTATAATTTTGATTTATATAGTCAGTAGCAAATTCATTCATTACATTCGCTAACAAAATATGTCCCTTTGTTGACAATATTCATTGTTTGATAAAATCATCTTTCAAAATAGAGCTTTTGGGTGATAAGACGTCTCAAAGTAGCTTGGTGTCTTTATGCCCACACTGACGCACCTGCACCACCTAAACTAAGCAAAACATCGACCATGTGCTGCACCTGCCTTCAAGACTTGGGCACAAGTCTTAACACTGCAGTGGACAGGAGTTTTATAACAAAATACAAGCAATAGTGAAAACTATCATTTCTACTATTTCCTTTTCAATGGTTAGACAACATTTTCAAAAGTTAAATGCACTTAAAAAGAACGAAGATTTTATGAAAACTATCATTTCTACTATTCGTAAAAAAAAAAAGATCATGAAAACAAGATAAAAGGAAAGGTAAATATTCTCTAAGACAGTTATGAACAGGTACTAACCCGGCAATAAGAAAAAGATAACAAGAATGTCATTGACAGAAGGAAGAAAAAATAACAAAAAAATGTCATACTGCTCGATTGAAGCATAGTTTTGAGTCAAAAGGTTGTTGAGGGGATGCTTACCTTGGCATCAACCACCCAGAACTGACTCCTTGCACTTTCAAAAGCAATTTCAGTATTCCCTAGCATTCTTGCCATTGTCTTCCTAGCAGCATTAAGAACCCCTATTCCTGCACTGCACTACCAAAAGATTTAAAATATAGAAACCTTAAAGATTTACCGTAATGCAAAAGGCTCAAAAAGTCTCTCGTGCAGATAGAAAGAAATTTAAGATTTAAAAATAAGGAAAAGAAGCCACTCAAGTCTCGTTTTCCAACTTCACTGTTCACTCTGCATGATAAAAATTATGTCCCAATCAAATGGTATTTCTTGCAGCCTACTGCTAGGTAAAGTTTAAGGGTGAGTAATTAGGACTGAAATTGAAGATCAAGATTATGAAATAATTTATTGAAGATGGTCTATTAATATCTCATAATTAATTACTTTTAGTATTTAGTGTGCGAAGTCAATCTACATAAAGTGAATTGGTCCTTAAAGAACCCCCAAACGACTGCCATCCGAGTAACAGTCCAGGTCCAACTGTCAAGGTAGTGTACTTTGGGCCTAAGCCCACATGAATTTATCCTATGGGTTTTAACCCAAAAGACGCCTCAACAGTTGATTTTGAACTCATTCTTATAAGGTTCCTAACTTTTTCAATCATTCTGATTCGCCTGAGGTGTAATGTGCACCTAAACATCATAGGCTTGCCTTCTGTCTTGGGCAATTTGCTTTGACGACAGAACCATGCTTGTCTATCAGCGCGAATTGGATGTTCGGGCCTAGCATACCAAGTTCTTTAAGTCATAGCTCATAGAGATATAGACTCTCAAAAGTTACAAACTTACTAATGTCAAAACAGTCATATTTCAGATTAATAAACAAGAGCTAACATTAGGTTAGAATATAGTCCACAATGATATGTCAAAAAGGCAGGCATCGGTCTTTCTGTTTATTCATTAAGAAGTAAAATGGACTCAAGTAAAATTGGAGGCAGTGCAAACCCATGAATGCTAGCACTTCAATGATTCTGACATCACATAGCAGGATGATATAGGTCTCAACCTGGATTTCCATCTACAGGGTACATCTAGCAGCATATAATTTGGATCAACTTATAAACTCTAGAAAAGGAAGAAAGGATGAGATGTTTCAAATGTTCCAACTAGTATTTTGGCTGCATAAAAGAGCTCCTCAATACAGATTTCCACCTGGAGAACAAGGCACCTTAAGAAAGCTCTAAGGAAACAAAAGGAGGAAAAGCTCAGTGCACCAAATGTCTTAAATAGTATTCTACTCGTTTATTAGAGTGCTCCAGATTAATTAAATGAATGTGGTCACCTTGTATGCTCTTGGACAATTTTCATTTCATGAGCTACTTATTTTTTATTTTATTTTATGAAGATCATTTCATGAGCTAGTTATTGTGGCTATGTTAGGCCCAATGTCTACCTTCTATAACATGGCATCAGAGCAGACTCATCCCTATTATTAGTTGACACAATATTGAGCCGCATTTTCTGCTGTCCACATTCCAAATGTCCTGCCCTAGGTGTACAAGAAGGTGTTAAGTTTTCCACTTGGTTGAGGGAATGGTGGTGGTCTCCTTATATGGTCTTGGTTAATCCTCACCACATGAGCTAGCTTTAGGGCTCGTTTGGTTGGAGAACAAGTTATCCCAGGATTGTTATCTCACCCTCAATGTGGAATAAAAATAACACTACAATCCCGGGATAATTAATCCCGGGACAAGTTATCCAGCGATTTTATCCCAACTAAACATGAGATAAACCCATCCTAAAATTAATTCCGGGATTAGTTATCCCTTATCTCTCGTACTAAATGAGCCCTTAGGGTTGAATTCAACCAAAGGTCCATTTTTTTTTAACAGAGTCAAACTCTCCATCCTCCCCACTTCCCGATGTATGTGTTAGTGTGTGTCCCCCGCCCCTCAAATAACTCATATGAAATGGAAAGCAGCAATAATTCAACTCAACATGGGACCATATTCCTTTTAAGTATCACACCGGACATCTTCTACCATAACTAACCATTCAACCAGTAATGCAAAGACTGAATAACCAAATCTACTATACTTAATCGAACAGTATTTCTAGGATTCAGGGCAATAAGATATGGACAACAGGATTGGAGTGACTTGGAACATGGAAAGAATTGTACATTAATGCAATACAGAAAGAATGAAGCATATGAACAACGAAACAGTTCTTGTATAATGGCATGCTAATAACTCGAGTAAGAAATTATACGGTGCAGTGAGAGGAAAAGAACAGTTTACTAGTCTAACCTTCCAGCACCCGCCACCACAATCTTCATTTTTGGGAAATCAATCATTGGTCTTCCCTGTGCTCTTACTGCTCCCAGAAGACCAGCAATAGCAACTCCTGCAGTTCCCTGAGTAAAAAACAAAATTGTACCACACTTGTAACACAAAACTTGGTTAAACAATGAAGAGCACAGAAACTTTAAGGAACTCCAGTAAGGAATTCTATCTGATCTGAAGATAAGAGCAGATGCATATAAGAATAATATATTACGGCTCTAAATTTCATGAGGAAAAAAGAAAAATGACTTGAGAAAATCAGGATACTGGAAGCAAAATGTCTCATTGAGAGTAAGAAACACCCATCACAAACAAAAAGGCCAATAATGTACCAAAAGATGGATACAATTTGTCATCTCAAGTCCTAGAGTTCCTCCGTTTTCTGGCATCCAAGAACAAGCAAATGTTGTGGAAGTATGGCCATGTAAAGCAAACATGAATATCATAATTATTGAGTAAACTTTGCACTCTCTCTAGACAACAAGAGATGAGACACGTGGGGTGAATGCACATAATTTCTTTTCTCCCCACAAGGTTTGCAGATACATAACAAGTAGATGCCTTGAATATTTTACAGATGTTTGTACCAGCTTAATCTTTTGCTTCATTCGATTTATGAGTAAATCAATATCCCTAATCCTAAGAATGTCAATAAGTAAGGTCAACAACTTTTATTATTCACTCGTTTATAATCGTAATCATATTTTTCCAAACACCAAAATACTTTGGCAATGACTGATAAAGTTATTTACCTGGACATCATCATTAAACATTCTGTAGTTGTTTCTATAACGCTGCAACAGCTTAAAGGCCCACTTGCTTTGAAAATCTTCAAACTGTTAATTTAAGGGCAATACAAACTTAGTGTGAAATTAGTTAGGAGAATGAAGAAAAGAGCTCAAATGAACCATGGGAAGTACCTGCACAATCACATGGGGCCAACGAGTAAAAACAGCCTCCATAAATTCATCAATTACTTCAATATACTCCTCTCTGTCAAGCCGATGATCTTGCAGTCCTAAATCTATGAGCATGAAAAAGGAATATCCTCAAAGTAAGAATGAGAGAGATAACCTGAATCAATAGGCATTACTAGTAGCAAGCTAAATATGACCGAGTGACTATTGATATCAAAAAACGATCTAACACATTCGAGATTCCGAAAGGTAGTGAGCAATGATAGCAATCATTTATATCAGGGATAACAGTAGTTGCAATAAGAAATTTCAACAATCTACAGTATCCACATAGATAAACTTAAAAGAGTATGAAAACAGGATGTTTGAATAAGTACTCAACAACAGCATACCAGTATAATCCCACAGGTAGGGTTTGGGGAGGGTAGAGTATACACAGGCTTTACCCCTACCTCATGGAGGTATAGAAGCAAGTTCCGAAAAACCCTCAGCTCAAATAACACATATCAAAGACAATAGAAAAGAAAAATACAGAATCAAAGAGGACATAGTAAATAATAAGGAAAGCATAGCATTCGTAGAAAAGGAATAACAACAACAGCCAAATAACGCAATAATCAAAGGACAAGGAACTACAAGAATAATGCTACTACTACTGGTAAGGAAGGAGAAACAGGACTAAGGAGGATATATCAAGAGCAAGTACATCTATCAAGCAATGACCAAAATTTTTAGCTTGGTTAGATCAGAACAAATGCTAAGCATCTGCTAGGCAAAGTTCATATGCGCTTGTATTTTGGAAGTTACTTTTATAATACATGGATTTGTGCAACTCCAAATGCCAGGTATACACAACATAAAATCCCATTTAACCGCACACTTCAATGAGTAGTATGATCATGCCTTCCGTTAAGATATTAAAAACAACTGTGTTAATATATACCTATTCATTCAGGTAAACAAAGATGCATAAACAGGGACATATTCCAGAACCTAAAGAGAACATAATGTAGTAGTTGGTTTGTATTGATTTGATCATTGGAGAACTATATGTGAATTAACATCAACCGTGATAAAGAATAAGTACTCACATAAAGGGTCTTTCAAGAGATTCTCATTGTCAGTTCCAACATCAATCATTACAGGCAGTACCTATTGGAAACAGGAAAAGGAATCAGTAAATTTATAAAGAATGCTAAAGACGAGAGTTAAGTACAAAAACATGGATGTATGAGAAACTAAAAATGGCAAGAGAAACCATATCATAAGGAATTACAGACATCTGATGCCTCACATCAGCAATGTCAGAAATAAGTTGATCCACTAAAACGTAGCTTCTACAATAAGAAAACCATTAAAGACTACTACTATTCACTAGATATGACACAATACTTCAATTTTTAAAAGAATAAAAGAACCATAATAGAAAGTTATAAAGCGCTTGACATGGTATCTCTTCATTTTCATTCATTTCCTAAAGCAAGCAAAGCTATAAATGCTTCAAGAGTCACTGACAATTGCATCAACCCTTTGTAACAAATAAAACTTCTCAAATAAAGAGAAAGAAAATCTCTTGAAAAACAAATACTTTATCTATTTCCTCTTTCCATCACTTCCCATAAGTAAATTTTTTTCCCTTTTTCCCGTGTCCTTTTATTTGTTTTAGTGCTAACTACATGAAAGCAACCTTATTTATCTAGCAATATGAAGAGGCAACATGGAGCAAGATTTATTTGTTTTAGTGCTTACTACATGAAAGCAACCTTATTCATCAAGCAATATGAAATGGCAACATGGAGCAAGATTATACTCTTTGAGGGTTGATCCCAGCAGCAGCCACATACAGATCCAGCTTCCCAATTGCAATACCAATTCCCTGAATTCCGAGATCTCCAAGACCCAATATTCTACTTCCATCAGTTACAACAATCATGTCAACCTACATTGCAACTCCAGCTATGAAATGCACTTTCATTGTTGAGTGTTGATATATAAAATAACTTATCAGAAGAAAAAGAAGAAAAGTAGTTACGCACTAACATAATGGAGAAGCAGTAGAATCATCCATGCTAGTGAACAAGATCAAAGTCAAAAGGAAGAGTTAACTATCTTGTGAGATAGTTACTATAAAATAACTATCAGAAGGAAAAAAAAAGAAGCAATTACACACAAACAGAATGGAGAAGCAGTAAAATCATCCATGCTAGTGAACAAGATCAAAGTCAAAAGGAAGAGTTAACTATCTCACAAGACCAGTTACAACTCAAAGTGAATTTATCCTCTTTTTTATCTTTTTTTCCCTTTTTGAGGGATGGGTGGGAACTGTAAAGGATAAGTCAATTGATAGTATTGCAATGAAACTGTATATATGTTCATTTTTCTTGATAAGGGTCACAAGATCTTCATTTTTCTCCATTTGTGTTGGCGGTAGGCTGTTTCGACGAAAAACTTCTATTTGACATATAATGTTTACCTAATACTATGCAAAAGCAAATTAATGTGCTGCATAGTGTTATGATCTAATCAATTTGACATGTTCTGTTCATCTAAAAATCAACTGAACTGCTCAGTAATTGCAGAGCACCCGCACGATTACTTTACTGTTTTCTTCAGCCCTTTTATAAGCAAAAATTCAAAACAATATGCATCTGTATGTATCGAGGAAGATATTGAAGTACAAATGATCTGTACAAGGTAACTAAGAGCAGTTCACATCAGTTTAGTAGGAAATACCAAAATATTCAAATGTCTTCCCAGAGTAACAAGTAAAGCTTTACATATAGATTGGTTCATATATACACAAACCTGATCAGCTGGCCAATTGTAAACCATTGACATCATTTCCCCACGATCTTCGGCACTGAAGTACATGCCCCTCGGACGTCTGAACAATCCACTGTACTTCTGGCAAACAAGACCAACTGTAGGAGTATACACTATGGGTGCATATTCCTCAATATTTTCCATTAGAACCTGCCACAGTAAGGAAAAACTCTCATCCATAGGTCCTCATATACAAATTTTTGATAACAAACCAATATAAATTAACTAAATGTTGCTTCACCTAATAAATTGAATTAATGATAAATTATCTAACATGATATATTGAATTTTGCTCATTAATTAATCATCTTTTATAATGGACATTAAGAATATGCCTAACTCTCACCTTTGAAGAACAACGGAGCATAGTTGCAAACTTCTTTTTTTTAAATAAATAGATGCAAACTTACTAGGTGTGTAAAGTTAAGTTTTCCCTTGTGCCTTCCTCCTTTTTGTCTTTCATATTAAAAGCATGTTCACAACTTCAATTTTTTAGGAGAAAAATTGTCGGCAAAGAAACGACGTCTGCACCATAAACAAAATAAGTTCTTTTGGTTTTGAAAACCTCAGTGTCGTATTGGGGAGAGGTGATTAGACAGGACATGGTGCAGCACCAGCTTTCCGAGGACATGACCTTAGATAGGAAGTTATGGAGATCACGGATTAGGGTAGAAGGTCATTTCCTAGCAGGAAATAGTGGTGCACTGTATCTTTTTCCCGATATTTATTTTTTTACCAGAAGTAATAGCATTTGTCTAGAGAGTTGGCCTATCTCACAACTTTTGTTACTCGTTATTTGTTATGCTTCAGTTATCACATAAGTTGGTTATGGTAGTTGCCCCTCTTTGGTATGTTATGTTATGTTGTCCTTGTTAGTTTCTATGTCCTCTTTACTTCTATATTTTTCTATTAGCTGCTTTGATGTTCGCTACTCTTACCAAGGGTCTTCCGTAAACAGCCTAGTTGTAAGGTTTGTGTACACTCTACCCTCTCTAGATCCCCTTTTTGGGAATTGGGACTATACTGGGAGGTTGTTGTTGTTGGTTTGGGGAACTTCAATGTCATGCCAAAAGTTCTATTACACTTTTTTAGAACACCAAATATGTACTTTGATTACTTCTTCTTGTTTAATTATGTTATCCATATTCTTTCACAACAATTTTCATATGACGTATATCATATGTACTACTTGCCGCATGGGACACACGCGCAACACATGTGTCCAAAACTAGTATGTATATGTATATATATATATATATATATATATATATAAATGTGTTGTATATGACACCTCTCTTTCCCATTTCTTCTCTCCTGTGGTTAATTTAGTAAATTCGATACTTTTGAAACAAGTTATATAATGATACGTACTAATAAAACTCAAAGAGAAATTTATTGAATTCAAATATTAGCGTATGACTTCTATGAAAAATCTTGTCATTTTAAATAAGAATAAGAGTTTTTCAACTAGATCTGTGTTTTTGCCTAGATTTGAGAGACCAATTTTTTTGCTGAAATACAACGTGCTCTACTAACATGTAGTTTAACCAAAGAAAAGAAAAAGAAAGATAAAGTGTGAGATAGTTGGTCTACGAACTTGTCCGGTTAGGTGAAGAGGGTATGTTAACACTTTCTTCATCGGAGTTATTTCATAAAGACTTGTCAAGGTAGGGAAGAAAATAAGGAAAGGGGAGGGGATTAACAAGCACACTTGAAGAGTGCAATACAACGAAGAGTTGTGTGTGTGTTCATTAAGGAAAAATCGATCCCAAAATGAATTTATTGATTTTCTCTCAATTGGTTAGATCGTAGGTGCAATGATATACTTTACGGACGAGGTCTATGATTCAAGTCCAGCATGACCTAATTGCACCGCAAAAAAGAAGAAGAAACATTTGACTACTCCACTTGGCTAATAAAAGAAATGTTATTTACATTTTACTTTTAGGCAAAATAAGTCATTATTTTATTTTATTTAAAATATTAAAGTAAATTAAACACCCGATATAGACACTTTGTATTTTAAAATCAAATGCCTACGCTCTCTATATACGAAAATCCTGCTCTTATACCGCTATGATGTTATTCATTCTCTAAAAAAAAAGAAATCTTATATAATAAAAACTTTGCACAAATAAAACTTCATATAGCTAAGTATAATTAAAATAATCTCGAGAGGTTGAGGTACGATGAAGGTTATTTTTCGTCTGTTTGTGATGTCCGTACATTACACATGTATGCAACCCACCAATATTGCCTTTAGCCTCCCATAAATCACTAACCCTGCTCTCACTTTGACACCCTCCTTCTCTCTCATTCTTTGGGTTTACAACATGCCTTACCTTAAGGTACTCTTCTTTTCAATCTCATGTTATTTTCTTCTTTCTTTTTCTTGATATCGCAAGTTCCTTTCTTTTGGGGAATTAAAAATTGGAGTGTTTTGGTCTAATTTTGTTACAGGTTCTTTATGCTAATTATTTCTGATGAATATTGGAAAATGGGTATTTTCCCTCTCTATCACTTATATTTTCTTGCTCATTTTTTTTTCTTCTTCTAAAATGGCACTGGCAAGGCACAAGGTCTTAGAGAGCACAACAATCTTTATGCTAAGCATTTCTAATAAATTGCCACCAAATCTCAGTAGGGGGGTTCCTTTTTAATTTGATGCACCTTTTTTGCTGGTGATCACAATTTTGTTAAATGTGATGTTCTTTTTGGTGATTAGTGTTAGCTTTTTCCTATTTTTTTGGCAAATTCTTTTTTTCGTTTCTATTACATGTCAGAAATTTTATTTGATTTTTGCTCATGCATGTTGGAAATAGACATCTTGATGTATGATTTTTAATAGTTGGCTAAAATCTTCTTCTTTTTTTTGAACTTGAATAGTTGGCTAAAATCTTTTTCCCTCATCAATATTGATATACATTGTGTTGTGACAAAATGTTTGATGATGTGCCTAACCTGAAAAAGAATTAGAGATAACATGACTAATTAGATTTAGTGAGGGAGAGAAATAAAATTAATCATCTTCCATTATTTCCAATTCTTAAGAGATTCTTTCCCGATCAAAAGCAAACTCATTTACCCATCATTTTTTCCCCATCCTATTATTTTCTTAACTTTTTTTCTATACAGCGAACTTTAATGTTGCTTTTAATTTCTATTTTCTATGAGCTCTAATATGAGCATTAAAAAAAATATTGAAATCCGAACACCAGAGCTCGCCAGACTTTGGAGTAGCAGTGGAACTCGCAAGGGAAAGAGGAAAAAAAGGAGGAGAGAGAGGAGGTGTGTTCGATTTTAATTTTTCTAATGAAAGGACAGAGAAGTCCCATTTTAAGTGAGATGGTGAGGGTATTTTAGGTAAATGAAAAATGGGGGCATTGCTAACCAACTACCTTCAAATAGTAGGTTAGCAAGACCTTATATATATATATATATATGTAAAGAGAGAGAGACAAAAAAAATAAAGGCTTCTATACAAAAGAGACAGAGACATATCCTACATAACCCCATTAGAGGCCATATCTGAACAAAACTGAAGATTTTTGATGGCTTATGTAATGGGAAATGGTCCTGCTTGGTATCAGACGCTTTGGGATTTTAAAAAATCAGGATGACAGATCTTAAAAAGGACACATGGGCGCTGAAAGACACGAAATTCTTAAGAGCAAGTATTTTGTATTTCCTAGGCAACAGTCAATTCCACGGTAAGAGAAAGAATGCCACACATAGCTTGTAGCTTGCTGCTTTCTTTTTCTTTAGGGGGCGATAGTTACTAAAAAGAAGGTGGGTATTGTCACAGTGCAAGAGACATGTCCGACTGAGATTTGCAAACCGAAGCACTTTAGGGGTCGTTTAGTTCACATACTAGATATGCGGGTCTTATGTAGGGATTGTGTATGCAGGAAATAATAATGAAGGAATTATATAAGGTGAATAATAATACAGAGGTTGTTATGTGGTGAAAAGTAAGTATCCCATGAAATTAGTTGAGGTGCGCGCAAGTGGCCCGAACACCACGGTTATCCAAAAGAAAAACAATTAATACATGAACAGTTATAAAGGGATTACTTATTTTAAGGGTACTTTTGTCTTAAAATACTTTTATCTCCGCAATGCTAATAAATGTACTTTTATTTCATATTGACACATAAAATAATACATAGATTCCCGCATAATTCAATGTTCTTATCATGTAATACCGCCAATCAAGTGTCGGATTAGTTATGCGGGAATGATTTTACTATGACCAACCAAAGACTGCATTAAATATGTGTGGATTACTTTCGAAATTCCTCCAACCAAACATTGTAAATTTTATACAGAAATTTATATTGGAATTATTTTTCCTAATCCCTCCAACAAAAGACCCCTTAATGTCATCATAGAGCATCACAAGACAATGTAGTGCTGTTAAAAGACAAGTTCAATTACTCACCTTGTAGTACAAAGTCTCATTTCTATCGTGCAAGCGATTAAGTATGCGCCACTTGGCCAAAACATATGGGTCAGATGGACCATCTCTAGCTTGTACTTCAAGCCTCTTCAAGTCAGCCACTGTTACATGCAGAAAAAGTTTTAAAATTGGCAATGTAAGTAAATGAACTCAAAAAAAGCGCACTTCTTGGGGGGGGGAATGCCTACATGATTAAAACTCTGAATTTGTTGCTTTAAGGATTCAAATTTCAGGAAAAGAATTGGTCTTTAGTTTCAGAAAAAAAAAAAGAATTGGTGAGCTTTAACAATTCAAATTTTGAAGAAGGAAAAAAAAAACTGTAAATGGATCCATTACTTGGAATTGACAAGGGGAGAAAGTATATCCCGCTAATAAAAGTGAGAAACTATCAAGGCGTATAAGAAGAAAAAAAAAGCCGGAAATATCCACTGTTAAAATTCACATGATCCTGAAAATCTCCAATTTGTGAAGAAAACTACAAATTTCTTCTCAAACTCAAAAAAATGAATACTAAAAGGTTGCGAGGAAGTATCTATTCATTACAACTCTCAGATGCTAAAGTGTCACAGATTTTGACTTTGAAGATAGCCCAAATTTGATAGCAATTAAATTGTGGATAGAGACTTACTGAACCGTGCAATTTGTTGTTCAAAAGACATCACGTTTGGAGGCAGTAAACCACGAATGTGAAGACGATCACGTTCAGTAAATGAGAATGCTGTTCCCTAAAATTCATACATATTATTATGAAACTTGACTTCAGTATATTCCAGTGTCCACATGAAGTTCACAATATGAAATAGTTTAAGGCAAGAAAATGCTTATCGCACGATGCTTACCAGCACGAGTGATCAGGATAGGCTGCATTATCCACATTTCTATACACAATTTTGCCAGTTAATACTCCAATTCAAGCACTTAAAAACAGAAGATGAATTGTTTAAAATGAAACAAACTGATGAAGGGTGTAAAGCTGTCCCCTTGTCAAATACTATCCACTAGAAAGAAAAGGTGATTTAAAGCTTTTCTTCAGAGATATACTTTTGCTAGCTACACCGGGTCAAGTTAAACAGTAATCTCTTCTCTTTCTTCTTTAGGGGGGGCAGTAGTCTCCTTATATCGTTTTCAACAATCGACCCCTCAAGAGCTAGCTTTCGGGATTTAGTTAGGCACAAGGCCTATTTCTTCATATACTTCAATCAAAAACTACGAAACTAGGAACGCATTTTGGTGGTACTGAAGACAAAAACAAGGATGTTTTCATAATATGGACTATTAGTTGAGGATTGGATATCACGCTCATCAATTACAGACAGCTAAACTTCATACCTTTTTGAAGTAGTGTACCAAAACTCGCCTTTAGTTTAATCTTTGTGAGTAGACTGTAACATAAGTTCTAAACTATTGTATCTCATTCTTTTCGTATTATTGTCTATTTTAGGATCTTATGATGAAACAAATACCCCAGACCCTACTTGTGGGATTATACTGGGTACGTTGTTGTGGTATGACGAAGCAAATTATTAGTACAAGACATTATCTAATGGTCTCTACATCCTTGAAGATTGGTGGTCTCGATATGTTGTATGTTCTAGAGTCATGTCTCCATTTGAAGCAGATAGTAAGTTGGAACATCCTTTTTTGATGAAGGTCAGTTGGAACATCCTTAACTGTCTACTTTTTTTTTGAACATTGGTAAAGTTGTATTCTTCAGCATTAAGGACATGCTGGCCACCTTCAAAATTTACAGCCCTAAGCGAAATTACAAGCTCCCTATTAATTCTATAATTTGATCTACATCTTCTATGCAAAGTTGTTTACACCAAAAAAGTAAAGATACCAAACAATTCCATTTTACTTTGTGAATGGAATTAGATCTATCTTCAAAACATCTCCCATTTCTTTCCTTCCACACTGACCACCATATGCATGATGGTATTAGCTTCCACCACTTCTACTTTTAAGAAGCTTTGACCTGTTGTTTCATAATATTTCTTCATTGGAATGTGAGTTGTGTCGGTACAAAATATCACCATAGCTCGATAGGTCCTAGAGTTAATAAACGAAGAGAGTCTGTTTGGCTTGGCTCATTCTGATATGACCATGTCATGTTGTGTCCAAAATTGGGTTTAAGTATTTTCTAACCTTTGTGGATGATTTTTTATCGAATGACTTGGGGTTACTTTATGAAAAAATTATCCCAAGTATATTCCCAATTTTGTGCTTATTGTGTTGAAGTTAAATCCCAATTTAATACTATTGTGCACATACTAAAGAGTGAGAGTATATGTCAGAATCATTTAAGTTCGACATGAGACAACACGTGATTCTCCACCAACCATCTCGTGTTGATACACCCTCTCAAATCGGAACTGTTGAGCCTAAAATAGCCTTTGCATGAGACAACTTGCACTTCCACTCCAAACAAAGGTTCCTAAATAATTTTGGGTCGATGCAGTCTTTACGACTTGTTTAATTAATCTCATGCCATCTACCAAGCTTACTTATGGTAAGGAGCATGACAACTACCCAATGAGTTGAGCAAACTTTATAACATTACAAAGAACTTCAGGACATTAATTATGGCTGCCCAAACAATACATATGGTATTAGAGTTAAGACTCATCGATTCAAGTTGTTGTGTAATTCAATGTTGGATCCCCGTGTTTACATTATCCACGCTTCAGTTGTCCGGTCCTAGGCGTACAGGGGAAGGGGGAGGATGGGAAGTTAAGTCTCACATGGTTAGGGCATGGACTGTTATCTCCTTATATCATCTTCAACAATCCACCCTCAAGAACTAGCTTTCGGGATTGAGTTAAACACAAGGTCCATTTTTTCACATACATTAATCAAAAACTACGAAATCAGGAATGCATTTTGTTGGTACTGAAACGGAAGTTTTCACAATATGGACTACTCCCTGAGGATTGGATATCACTCTCAACAAATACTGATAGCTAAAGTTTATAGCTTGCTGGAATAGTGTACTTTTAGGTCAATAGTCGAAAGTCAGTAAGCTATAACCACTGCCCCCTTCCCTGATGTGAATTCATTGGCCTACTTTAATCTATTATTTATTTGTTGAGGGTTCGCATAGATTGCACAAAACAAACACCAGTGGAAAGGGGCGGCACGAATTATCTAACTATTGGTTCTTGTTTCATCACTTTCATATTGATTTCAGGATTTAATTTTCTTATAATTAAACCCAAAGTAGACCTCACGTTCCTAAATTTGCATTCACTAGTGCATAGAGGAATTCCACTCTGTAGTGCACAACTATAATTAACAATTTGCAAGTGTCCAAGGGAATAACTGAGTGGTCGAGGCATAGCACTGGGAGTCCCAATTTGAGTCCCAACTTGTGTGGTCATCGAATCCAACCTTGGTGGGCAAAATTGCTCAGTACATGTGCTTCTATGTTAAAGCAAGTTTCCCCATAGATTAGTTTAGCTGCACATAAACTGCTCACTCATAAAATGAATAATAGCAATCTGCCGATCATAAGACTTCAATATCAAATAAATTTGCTTAACAAAAGAGATCACAAATTTCCAATTACAACAAACTCTTTCTTTTCTAGATTGAGGGTTGAGGAGGTGAAATGAAACCTCACATAGCCAACCAACTGAGAGCTACTAAAATTACCACAATAACAAAAAAAAAATCAACTAACAAAACAAAAGAACATTTCTACTGATCTTTCAATAATTCATTTACATAACCAAATAATGAGAATATCAATTCAAGTTATAGAGCCAAAAGTACACAACGATCTGGTAAATTCACGTTCAAAAAAAAAACATGAAAATTGAATTACCTTGTTAAACCATGGATCGTGAAGAATATCATGACTCCGCTTGTGAACAATGGTGGGACGGTGACCTTCCGTTGTAGTAAAATTTCTTGAAGAAGATGAATTCACAGCAGCAGCAACTCTTTGGTGTAAACGCCTCAGAAGAGTTGAGGAAAGTCGCATTTGATTGGAAAAATTCGCCATTTTTCTGGATCGAAGAAAGACAGTGAAGAATGGAGATCAAGGGAAAGTGAAACTTGTTAATAAACCTATAAATAAATAATCACGACATTCGATGTAGAGTTTTCACAGTGAAAGAAACGGGAAAAGTTCAGTGGCCGGAAAAGCTGAAACTAGTGGTAATAATTGATTAATTCCTTGCATTTTTGTGACTAATTTTGTCGGCTGAATTCCATTGACAAAAGAGTGTGAAAGTCAAGCATGTTTAGACCCGGCTCATTTATGACACTACTACATGCCCGGTCATACTGTCTTTAATCGTATGTCTCATGTTATGTCTTTTATCAAGACATGAAATCACGATAGTAAATCTCAAAAAATATCGTATACACCTTTTGTTGTATATTAATATGTTTATAATTACTTTAGTTATTTTTGGATTCCCTCTTCAATGCTCGAGTTGGAGAGGGGGATTCAAAAAATTCAGGTGCTTTCAAATACCATTCTTACTTGGAAGGATATTAGTTGAGTGAAATACTGGAAGCCAATAAATTTATGGTATTGTTTGGACCTCTCCTAGTCTATTATCTCATTTTATCTGAATTCCTATGTTTCCTTTTTTGTCTTGTACGCCTAAGATGACTTTCTCTACCTCGGGAACGATAAATATAGAGCTAACTTTGACATACAAGAGGAGCATAGTTGTCATTTTTGCATTTAGGGAGACTTTTTTCTCTTCCATTTCAATACGGACAAAGAAGAGGTTAAAGAAAAGCTATAACAAGTCAAGGGACAATGAAGGGATCACTCGCATCGAAATCTCCACGACCCGTTCTCGCTTCCATGATTAAGAAATCGTGATTGTGACCATCAACAAAAAAGAAGAAGGAGAAGAAGAAAAATTAATTAATGAGTCGAAGGGAACAGAACGACCAGCTAAATATCCATCCATGCCAAGGTGCTATTTCTATTAGTTTAGATTGCAGAACACAATTCATATGTAATTTTGGTAATTTGTGCAATAGGCTATAGGTATTCAAGTTGAGCTTACCACATTTTCTTCATCCATAGATGGATGGACAGTCCAAATGAATTATTTAAAGGGATAATTACACAAAAAGACCCTTCGTTCAATCTAATGACAAAAAATATGGCCATTTTTTTTAAACCTTTGTCATTGTCGTTCTTTTGCTTTGTCCTCTTCCTTCTCATTCTTCTTATTTTTCTTGTGTTTTTTGCCTCCTCTTCTTTTTCTTCTCCTTTTTTTATTTAAAATATATATATATATACTGCAAATGGGAATTGTTTTAAGCGAATTATATATCAAAAGTCTTTAAATAGCGAGAGGATATCATATTTAGAATTTGGAACTATTTAGAGGTGATATTAAATTGATCGTAATTGTATAGTCAGTGTATACTTCATGTATAATTAGTGTATACTTCATATATAGTTAGGTTATTTTTAGTTTTTTTGAGTGTATCATAATGTATAGTTCATGTATATGTAAGCTATGTTGTATTGCTAGTGTATACTTTTATGTTTTTTCGCAAACAATATTGTATAATCCGTGTATGCTTTTTTTGACTTTTGGCTATTTTTTATGTAAATCAAAATATAGCTATATGTTTTGTAAACTAATTATTTTATTGAATATATTTGTAACTAACTCTTATTTATATCATCAAAGACATGTTAAGAGTGTGGCATTAACTTTGAAGGTAATTGAAATGAGTTATTATATCCGGTGGAGTTTTCCTACACTGTTAACAATCTACAATTAACATCTTATGAGGCTTTACATTGTAGATGTCGTTCACCGAGTGGATAGTTTAAAACATGTGAAACAACGTATTAGGTCTGGGTTAGGTCTAATGTGCCTTGGAAAATATCAAGTTAATACAAGACATGTTTAAAATGATTCAATGTAGGTAACAGTATTGTGTAGATAATAAGAGACCTGTGAATGTTGACTTCCAATTCATCATTGATAACATGAAGAGAATAATAGCAGGTTGGAAAACTAAGTTCCTAAACCTCATCGGAAGGACAATTCTTGCAAAAGCAACCATCAGAAGCATCCCCTCACATGTAATGCAGTACATCAAGCTCCAGCACAATCGACAATGTTCAAAGGGACTTTGTCTGGGATCTACAGTTGAGAAGAAAAAGATACACCTTCTCAACTGGGATAGTATCACTAATGCCAAGAACATGGGAGGACTGGGTATACAAAAAGTGATAAGAAACAAGGCAACTCTATCAAGCCTAGCATGGAGAGCTCTACAGAACCCGACCAAACTCTGGTGCAGGGTTCTCTAGAACAAGTACAAAAACCCAAACATAGAGCGCAACTCAGGATAGTCTCCAAAACTTGGAGAAATATCCAAAGGGGATGGTTAGATGTACTTGATGCAACAGAATAGAGAGTCCATAAAGGGGACAAGGTAAACTTCATTACTGATAAATGGATCCCTCACTTAGATGCCATCAGCAAAACCATTCATAGCCCATTCTTGGAAGCAGAGACCAATCTCAAAGTCATAGAAGTCTACCAAAATGGGGATTGGAACTTTGAAAATTTGTTCTTCACCATTCCGGAAGAAATTAAGGCCATCATCAGAAGCTACAGACCCACTGGCGAGGCAACAAAGGAAGACACCATAGTCTGGGGCTTAATGGACTGTTCTCCATCAACACGGCCCACAGACACATAAAAGCAACTAATGAAACTCAAACCTTGGAACCAAATGAGAGATTCAAATGGATTTAGGCTGTTAAGGCCCCAAACAAAATTAAGACCTTCATCTAGCTTATGTATCACAAGAGACTGCCTACTAATCATGTCCTTAAGCATAGAGGCCTTAGTGTCGACCCCAAGTGCAGCTATTGTAATGGAGACATTGAAGACACCAACCATATTTTCTTCCATTGTCCTAACTCTATCACCTTTTGGAACGAAATGATCTTCAATAGCTGCACACCTGGCAGCATTTCATTCACATCCTTAAATGACACAGATTGGATAAACCAGTGGCAGGCCCTCAAAAACAGAAAACTTAATGATCGGCTGAATAAGGGAACCCTCATCCCTTTCTGCCTCTAGAACATTTGGCTAAAAAGGAACCACAACACTTTCAACAACAAAAAAGAAGGAATAAGCACAATCGCTACAATCTCCTAAGACACAGAGTTCCAATTGATCATTGTGAATGCCATGGAAAGAATTAACTTCAAATCAACCATACAAGTCAACTGGAAGCCACCGAACCACAATACTTTCAAGTTTAACGTAGATGGGCCATTCAGGAACACCCCGGGCCCAGGTGGGCTGAGAGGCGTGATAAGAAACCACATGGGGCTGTGGAAAGTGAAATTTATCGAGCACACCCCCTAACAAACCCCATCAGAGCGAAGCTCTAAGCACTGCGAATGGGCTTGTCCATTGCTATAAACCACAACTTTAGCCCGTTAGAAATTAATTTTGATTCCTCTAAAGCCATTAAAATGCTAAACAATAGTAACTTGCTCTATGATGATCTAATTATTGAATGCAGGTCACTAATGGCGAGGCTGGAAATCACAAAGATGGAGCATGTATTCCGCGAGCAGAACAGAGTTGCGGATAAGCTTGCGAAGCAAAGAGCAAAAAGTGACGTTGCAGGGTAACCAACTTTTTTTGAAGCTGCACTAATATGGGTGCAAAAGGAACTAGATGCGAATGTAATATGAACAAGCTACAATATGGTTATAAATGAACCTTTTTGCATTATCCAGGGTCAGGATGTGACCCAAACTATTAACAATGAAGCTCCCGTTAACACGGGACGACATACTGCCTAACAAGCTTAATTACATTATTATAATATAAGTAACCTTTTGATAGAAAAAAATAGAGTTTATGACATGGAGTTAGTGAAGCATGACTAGGTTCTCTTAAAAGTTTTTCCCATAACAGGTGTGACCCATTTCGAAGAGAAAGAAAAGTTGAGTCCATATTTACATTGGCCCAATTTGAGATTTTAGAAAAAATCGGAGCAGTAACTTATAGATTTAATCTTTTACCAACATATTTATGATTCATCCGATTTTTTATGTACCCATGTTCCTAAAGTACGTTGGGACGACTTTCACATCATAAAGTTAGATGTGGTACAACTTTTCACTACCAAAAAAATAGTGTGATGACATTCGTCTTATCCCACCAAGACATGTTAGTCTAAAACTCAATTATAACAAATAAACACGGAAGTAAAACAAAACGAAAAACTAATACAATTTAATAATGCGGATAACATAGCTAATATTAAGTAACCCCTAAAATCTGGTTATCATGTGTACAAGCCTCTAATGTAATACATTTGTTTTGTAAGAAAATGCAAGTCTCAATGTCATTGTTTCTAGAATAGAACAAGATCATATAAAAGAGTATAAGGGTCTGCCGAGATAACAAACAACTACTTCATAACTCTCCACAATAAGCCTCAGACTAAGAAGGGAATAAGAGCAATCACGATGATCCGGGATTGTAACTTACACAAGTGTAGAAGCAAATGAGTGAGTATCAAACAACACACTACTGAGCAAGCAAACCCCTAAACTCAGAGTAAAGCAATATAGACTACGCGTACTCTTAACACTCCAACCGAACCTCCACAACTACAACCTACACATAATCAACCCAATCTAATAGTTCACGATTTATATAACACATTGCATAATAACAACACTTCAATGATTACAAGTCATCAACACAAATATTATATTCACCAATCACAAGTTCCACACGAACATGCACTCACAAGATCACATATGGTAATGAATGTGCAATGCAATGAAATAAAATGTTAGATATAGTTATGCATGCTTGTCCTAACAATACACATCCACTGAATATCGTTGATGAGGTTAATAAGATTTTTGGAGTGATGCAGGTAACTGGGAATGATCGGGTTGAGTTGGCATCTTACCAGCTTAAGGATGTAGCTCATATCTGGTACACTCAGTAGAAAGAGAACATGGGTACATGTGCCGCTCCTATTACTTGGGAAT